GGGCATAAGAAGGAACGGGTTGAACTGTCAGTCAAACCTAATTGGCATCTAACTTAGTTTTTGGATCACTAAGCATAAATAGGGTTTTCTTCTTCTTGACAACGTACAAACCTTGCCCTCCAGAATAAGTTTCCCGCCATCACCCGCCGAAATACCTAGTAGATCTGGAAGGCAGCATTCGCCAGCGCCGCAATCGCCGTTATCTAAATGGGCCAAAGAGATTAGCAGCTGTGCCAATTTCTTCCCTGGCCGAGCTTTTTCTTACCCTTGCAACGTTTATCCATGGCAGTCGGGATGAGAAGAGAAAGGGCAACCAAAGCGAAAGATGTCTTCATGATGGGCATGTTACAAAGTACAAGCGAGTAGCGAGACATCAATCATCAGCCCGGTTTTAGGATCATCTCTCTGCTATGAGACATGCCTCCAATGTTGATTGGTCTTGAACCAATGTATTACGTTGGGTAATTAACTGAGACTACTTAATTGAATGGGAATGCAACATTTGACATACACCAACCCATGGATAACGCGAAATTCTTTGGAATCTCTCAAGTACATGAGAGAGAGATGCGAGCAAGCAATTCGCTACTATCAAGGCTATGTTATGATTTACCATGTTTGTTCAGTAAGACGGATACATAAAGTCCGTTCATAGTTTAGGTCTTTTTGCTGCATTCCCCAACTTCAGGAAGTCTATTATTGCTTCCTTTCTTACACTCCAAGCCATCTACGCATGGACACAGTCCAATCCGTGCTACCTCATGATATGGGCCTAATTGGTATACCACTTAGTCTTCTGTTCTCCAAACGTCAAGCCTTCTTCATTTGAATAAATAACTTACAGTTCTCGCCTTTTATCCCCTTCCCCGTACACTGGCCATCGCCAAGTAAACGAATAATGCAGCATTCATTCTTGCCGCAGTCTTTGTCCTCTAAAGAAAAGAAAATGATGAGTTAGCCACTGTATTGATTTCGTCTCCGTCCGTCTTTGACAAGTGCTCCTTACTGTGGCAACTTCCACCGAGTTCGCATATGACAGTTGGTACTAGACCAAAAAGAGTAAACAGGATGAGTGGTAGCTTCATGATGGGCGCGACGAGGTTGGGCTTGATAATGTTGGATGACAGAGAGAGAAGAGTCGAAGATAATCACACACACACACACACACACACACACACACATATATATATATATATCAAGAGTTAGAAAGAGCGGTGACTGGGTATGAGACTACCTACTGAGACACACCACTACGTAGTTTACAAAGAAAAAGTAATGTTTTGAATCACGAGCTGCTGAGAAATGCCAATAAGAGAGAGACTTATAAACAATCCGCCAACATTGAAGCTCTTATTTAGTTAGGGAATCTGATTATACAGAGTCCGTCCATAGTTTACATTATTTACTACATTCCCCAACTTGTGGACGTTTATCAGTTCCCTTCTTACACTTCAAGCCTTTTACGCATGGGCACAAGGCAAGGCGTGCTATGGGTTGGAAAGGACCTGAATTGGCATACGGCTTAGTTTTCGATTCTCCAAAGCATACAGGCTTTTCCTTAATCACTTACAGCTTTCGCCTTCCGTCCCCATCTCGGTACACTCGCCGTCATCGAAACCGATGATGCAACATTCATTCTTATCGCACTCGTTGTCATCTGAAAGAAAAATACGAGTCAGCAGCTGTGTCGATCTCTCCCCAATTGCTTTTGACAGGGGTTCCTACCATTGCAGACACCGCCAAGTTTGCATAGGACCGTCGGCATCACAAGGGAAAACGTAAGCACAATGGACGACAGCTTCATGATGGGCGCGATGAGGCTTTGCCTGGCAATGTCGGATGGCAGAGATAAGCAAGGTCGAAGATGGTTGCTTGGATTTCAAGAGCTGAAATGAGCGGTGGCTGGGTTTTGTAATACTGGTCTTGAGACATGTCACGTCTACCTGATGTAGAAAATGAAACATCTTATGTCATAAACTCATTGTTGTCGCCATCAACTACATTTGACATCTCAATACTACTTGATCGAGACAGAGGAGAGGTGCTGTTGTTTGTTAAACATGCAAGCTATTACGAGATGTGCTCAGAGTCTGACTGCCGTAAACGCTCGGAATTTCTAGACAACTTGGTCCGATTCGACAAGGTGCCGTGCGCCCCCGCGACTCTCTACCTTTACTGTATTAGGGATATCACAGATGTTCCAGTTGTGAACCCAATGATGTTCTCGAGGCAATGGTCCAGCGCTGACTCTGGTGTCTCATTAACCTACAATAAGGCAGAATGCGACAAGATGCATAGCAATGTGGCATTGTGGGCTGCGCTAAGATGCCCGGCGACGCCCATTTTGTACAATACTAATACATAACAAGAAAATAGGGTAACAATGCAGTGTGATTTCTCCTCTATATACAACCTCTATGTGCAATTCAACCCCCAATCTCAATGTACTCATCCTTTCTTCCGGGAAAGTGCAACACCAGCGAGGCGCAGCTCACCGCTCGACAAAGACTCGCTCTGATGGACAACAGCCCCGTCCCGCATAGCGACCTGCATGCGAAACAGCTTGCAGTACAGGACGGTGGCGTAGTTTGGAGGGACGGCGAAATCTTCCTTCTTTTTCGAGACGTGATACTCGGTGAAGGATGATGAGGAAGAGTGCGTGAACTGGTAGTTTAGACTGACGGAAAAGCTGGCGAGCGATGTGCCGTAGCTGGCAGACAGGGAAATACCAGTTGTATGCTCCATGCTCTGGGACTCCGTATTGGACAGGCCGTACTCAATCTCCTCGCTGCGCTGCAGGTTTCCGGCGCTGTAGTTCTCCCAGATGCCTTCGACCTGCCACGCAGCCCTCTTTGTGATGTTGTAGAACGGATTGCGGATGTTTCTCAGAATTCTGGGATCGTCCGGCTGGTAGAAGGCAGTGAGGGGTAGAACAATTTGCGCCTGCAATGTCTCATCGTAGATCTGGCCCTTGTAGGGCAGGTTGCTGGCCGACACGTTGGGCGTTGGGCTATTGAGCTCAATGAAGTTCTTTGGGAATGGAAGAGCAAAGACAAGGGGATCAACGTCGGGGAAGCCAAGCTTGGAGTTATTGAAGCTCTCAGCTTCGGCAGCGTGGAAGGTGCCAGCATAGAGAGCAACATGATCGGAGCCAGCGACATCTATTGCAGAACCGGGCATAATCTCCCAAAAGCTACCGTCCCTGGACTTGGTACCGGGCGCTTCATACTATAGTGCCTTGTCCGCATGTGCACCCAGCTTCACGAGATCATTGCGCACACACCAGATTTTGTCATATTTCGGTTCCAGGCCAACAGTCCCAACGTCACCGAGACACGTGTAACCATCTGGAGCTGTAGGTCTCCAGACCTCGGTCTGATTCACCACGCTCGCGCCAGCCTTGGTAAACCAGATGTCGCGCCATTTGTCCGCCAAGGGCTCCTTGAGAGCTGGCATCGAAGCATTCTGGGGCTTTTGGTTCGGGTTCAATGCCACAAGGATGGTGACTCGCTTGTTGTTGACGACATCGGTAGTGATGTTGGAGATGATGGATCCAAGAGCGCGAAATTCATCGTCGCCGACGGGGTGATACATGCTGATATCCGTCTCGACCCAGAGCTTCTTGTAGCTGGACGTCATGGCGACTCTGATCTCGCCATAATCGTGATAGGAAAATGTCGGTGCAGGCGCTGCCTGCGCGATGGCCAGAGAAGAAACAGAAAAGAAAAGTTTAATGAGTGAAATAGCCTTCATGTTGGGGGCTGGGTGAATTGCTTGATCAAACAACGACGAGTCTGGCCGAAGAGGAAGGACTATATAGTATTAGGGCCGTCGACTAAATCCTCCGATGCAAACAGGCATGCCGAACATTTCAGCGTTTCATCCCGCTCTAGCAATGGTAATACATGGTAAATTGTGTGTTTTCCCGGGACGGCTCAGTTTGCCAAGGCTTACCTCTGGTTCATCTCTTTGTTCAAACGAGCTGCAGTCACTGGTGCCTCGTATGGCGAGTCAGGAATGAATCTGTCGTCACCGGAGCTAATGTAATTACCCGTTCATCTAGTCAAGCTACGGGGGCACTCGATGCGCGCATCGACGTCGGCGCTCAGACTGCATGATCTCAAGGATGGCCAGCTGGGCTCGTCTGTGCCGTTCAGTGATTCATCTTGATGGACTTGACTCTCGTCAGATTGCAGCGATTTTCTTAGGCCTACTTATCCATGGGGTTTAGATCTACCTTGCCCGGTTTCCTAGAGATGATGATGGCATAACCCCCCCCCCCCCCAAAGTACCCAATCAACTTGGAAGAGCCCGCATGTATGAACTATTTGCATTCAACATACCGATTGAACCAAGGCGTGATGGGATGCATTATCTTATTTATTATCCACAAAGTCAAGTATCGAACCCGCGTTAGGTGGGATCGATGTGAGACTACAGTCCCCTCATTACCCACTTGGGCCCTAGTCAAATTACGTTACCACGAGATTCATCTACCTATACCGGGGTATAAAGCGGAGCTTATAAGGAGCTCAATGTGCTCTACTCAGATCATACGCAAGACTTGAGTGCAGGAGTTTGAGAAAAAGAACCGACATTTGACCTTGTGCAGAGAAGAGTCTCGATGTTTATGGCCACCCCTGGCAGCTCATTGACCGTTTAGACGCTCACTGCACTTGGGTAAATATTGAGCATCACGTATTGATAACGGAAAACAACATCCTCAATGCAGAGCTTGTAAAGAAATAGCTGAATAGAAATCCATTATATAACGATTGAAGATCCAAGGCCTTGATTGTTCTACAACAAGACATGCCTCGGCACGTCCCGATACGGAAATATCCATGTGGGGCCTCTAGGTTAGTTCATTCGAGGCCCGCACGCCACACGGACACCCGAATCTCAACAGATCCACATCAACAGCGAAAGAGGTATAAAGCAGCATAAATCACGAATCTTCATCGAGCGATCTAGAAATCCTGCAATCTGATTGGCTCTTGGGGCGTGTGGTGTAGTTGGTTATCATTCTCGCTTTGCATCCGTGCAGCCTGTGAGCGGCCCGGGGTTCAAATCCCTGCGCGTCCATTTTTTTGCCAAAATACATAAGAACCCGCCCTGCGCAAGCTCATGTTCCCCAGTGGACTTCAGCCTTGGCTGACCTTTAGTATCTCGCCCAACGACCACAGGGCAGTTCAAAGATTCCACCCAATAAGTGGTGTTATTCCACGAGTTGGACACCTCTCCACAACGCGTGACAAACACTTGGTCAAAGTCGCTCCAAAGCGTGATTACTCCAGCCCCGTAGAAGCCAATCAATGGAACACTGCCGAACACTTGGGGAGGAAACCAGCACTTCTCGGACCCATGCAATGCTGTACACACTGCTCCCAGGGACATGGCCGTTGTTGCTGGTTGCGAGGGACCTTTCCATTTACTACAAAATCGCCGCCCTGGCCCTTAAAATTGATGTGACTAGTGAACATCATCTAGATGCCAATCACCTTGCTGAGAGTGCTTCCCCCGGGATTGTCCTCCTTAAAATACTAGACTTATAGGGTAGGCTCCTGGGAGACTTCCTACTTTGAAGGGAGTCTTGGGTGTTGCATATATTGAAAGCAGATCTGTCTTAATTTAGCTGCCTAACTTGACGTATAAGAGGGGTGTGTACAGGGGCAGGAGATGGAATACAATAAGACCCCCTTTCATGAGACAGCCCTGTGATTGAGCATAGAATCCTATGAGTACCTAACGTCTCTGAGTTGTTTGCATCAAGACCGTGTAGGTTAGCTAAAGTCCAAAATTACAAATTTCTTCTTAAAGCTACGCCAGCTGCCCAATAAATGCTACCCGATGTAAGCCAGCCATTAGCTGGACCCTGGAAAGGTAGAAAGAAAGGATCAATGAAGAATTTCCATACCAATTGGGATGCCAGAAATCTGATTCTGAGATGGCCTAGACGATGAAGAGGGTTACTGAGCCGTTGTAAGATGTAACTTTCGCCATGACGATAATATCCTAAGTCCTGCACATGCTCAACTCGGAGTGAAGTGAAGTTTATGTCCAGTCAAGGCAAAGGAAACGATGCGGTCTAAGATGGTGGGTATATGCTCTAGCTTCTCAAGGCGCGATGCGCTTCCAAAAGTCTTCACATTAAAATCGGTCAACCTCCAAGCCCCCGAGGAGGCTTTGTTACTGCATCTGGCTACGCCTATGTCGGGGTGCATCTTCTATTGCTGTACCTCTAACTCTTGTGTTATACAGGCAATCTGTATGGCACGTGACAAGCCACTTTATGAGCCCCTCACTTCCCTTGACCGACTTCATCGCTTGACATCTTTTCAAATGGGCTTTCAATACTCGTCCACCACAGTCCAACATCGATTCAAACTTCAATACAATAGCTGCCCTCAAGATGCCGAACAAGAAAAAGTGCAAGTGGGGATTCAAATGGAAATTCGAGTTTTGGAATAAGATGATCAAGCGTGGGAATGAAAACGGGCAAGGTGCCACCGTCGTGTTCGGGACTCCAATCTCCCAAGAAAGAAGTCTGCTCATGAAACTCCCTCGGGAATTGCGCGACGAAATCTACTATTACGTCTTCTTTTCTATCTTGTTCTTCTCTGGCAAGAGAGGAATGGATCCTATCAACTGCGAACCTACCGTTCCAGACCCTAATGCACTGTCTTTACTTCGCAGTTGCCGTCAAGTATACTTCGAGGTTGGCAAGAGTTGGCTAGGGCAAGTTGAGTTTTGCTTTGAGAACATGGAAGCGATGCTGGATAAACTGGCCAATATCTCTCTCGAGATGCGCTCAATGATTCGCTACGTGCGCGTTAGTGGTAAACATCTTCTACTTAGGCTTCCGGAGACGGTTCCCTCCTACCATATTTCGCAGAGCTTGAAACTACTTTCAGGAATGAAACTAGACAGGCTAACTGTAGTTGGTTCATACGTATGCGACTACTCTTACGAGACCTTGGAATTTCTTATTAACTACAGTGACGGGTGGAAGGAGCTCTACTACATATCTTGGGATTCATGTTTTCTCGGTTATGCGAGTACAGTTAAAATAGACTGGTTATCTCAAGGTTCTCTAGACGGGAACACTTATCTTCGAGTGCCACAGCCCGCTGGCTGGCAGGAGAATCTAGAGAATCGTGATGGCGCTGACTCCGGATCCTCGGTCACTATCTATCGATCTAGGCAGCCATCAGTCAGGCCTGGGTCAGTAATGTACGATCGTCATACTCGCACCGAGTTTACTCAAAACCTATCACCTGAGCAGGATGCTGGAACCTATGGGTTGACGGAGGACCCTCAATTAATGGCTCCCGGCGAGCGAGAGAAGGAAGTGTTGGTCGTGGTTAAGCGTGGTAGCGGCGTGGATTACGAAGAGAAACAAGATTCGCCATATCATCCGTACGATGATTTCCGAAAGAGATTCCCTGGAAAAGGTTGGAGAGAGATCGGGCTCTATATTTTTAGGGAACGATTGTGGATATAGAAAGAGGAGTGAAGGGACCTTGGATTCCCTGCGAGAGCAGTCACGTCGTAGTGGCAATATTGGGGGGTTGATGGGTTCGCTGGACGATGGGTGGGTGGAAATGTACTGGCTTTGGAAGACCAATATGGGAATTTTCGCTCAAACATGAGTAGATATGAACTGAAAGACTTCTCCTTGAATATACCATTCATTACTTTCTTGCAACTCTCCTTACGCTTCTTCCCTCCCTTGATATAGTAGGATTGAGTGCTTCATTGCTAGCAATCACAAGATCTCGGTCCAACGCAGTTGGGTGGCGCATGAACTATTTGCCATTTCACTTTCCCTCCACCCGTCAGGCACCCTCGCATTGAGTCCCCCGTTGCAACATAGGATACCATTGTTGCACTGATCGGCAATAGTAACCCGTAATTGCTTAGCTATAAGTATCATAAAAAGAGCATTAAGATCAACTATGATAAAGTTATGCTTACAGAAACGCTTCTATGTCACCCCGCCTAGATTACATGTGTATAACGACTTTTAATTACCGAGAAGAACGAGGTCTTCATCTCTCCCACTCATCATATTACAAACGCAATCGGGTCCCATCTCACTCTATCCGCAGGTACTCACATTCGCTCTGCCTCGAAGGGTGATATTCAACCATGGCTGAATCCCATAGGCCTACATCATCGTACCATGGAGTAAACCACCAAGCAATGAGCTACAAATCCTTAGTCTTAGTACAGTCCTACCCACTCTTGAAACTGGGTTGTGTCCTCACCTCTTGTTCAGATGCTTGCCAGTGAAAGGCTGGCTTATCAAGTGGGCATTTTTCATGATACCCTTCCTCTTGGTGCTCCTCAACACTCACATACTGGGATGTTTTGACACGAATATCGACTATATAGTGCCGTGTCTCAGTTTGCTCATCCCACATCTTTCCGCGCCCGTATTGAAAGATTAGAGCATCAATAATCCCGTCTACTTCGGCATTATAGATAATCGTCGAGTTCATTGTTAAGGAACCATCCCACTGCCCCAGGGTCTCGATTGATCCGTCATTGTGATAGATACAGAGTCCCGAGCAGCGAGTTCTGCGGGTCCCTTCGAAGTCGGTCACATCCCTCTTCTGCATACCAAGCCTCTTCACATTGGATAGTTTGGCAGTCGTATGAGATGCTAGTGGGTTGGTGGAGAGAAAACGGGGGGCGGTTCCAAAAGCCGGAATAACGAATGGTTGGAGGGGGACTGAGGATTGGTTGCCTCGCTTTTTATTGGCTATCGGCTTCTCATCAGGAATAGTATGAGCTCCGATTGTATTTAGATGCAAATCCGTTGCCGTTAGAAGGTCCACTATCAAGCCTCGCACCGCACATCTTGTCCCATTAACCTGGGCTGGAATCAAGGATAACCACTCGATCCCAGGATTAAAGAGCAAGGATATAGGGCCGAAAAAGGCAGACCTACGGAGATTCTTTTTGGTCCTTGTCTCGATCTGATATCCAATGGGGTCTGTTTGTTAGCATTGCACTTTTAGATGGCCTACGAGTGCGGAGACGGGGGCTGGTGCTACTTGCCAGAAGAAATGGGCCACGTTGTAATCGATCGTTACCGAGTCTTACCAAACCCAGTCGCACGATGTCTTCTCCGTCGTTGAAATGAAAGTATCTTGGACAACCTCTCTGACATGCTGCTGCCCTGAACTCATAGTGTTTTCCATGCACAAGAATTTGGTTAGTACCGTTAAAATCACTATATACGGTTATGTCTTTGGCCAACTGGTCATCGTATTGGAACGGTAAATACCGACATAGGCGCCATCCAGGATAATGCGTGAGCTGCCCGGAAGATGGATGCATTTGAGCAATGTGCGAGTCCCCTTGGACGGATTGGCCTGGAACGACATCCCAAAGAGCTCTTGACGGAGAAGCTATTAAACTTTCGCTAGTCGAGGTAGGAGAGCGCAAACTGAGCACTTTCAGATCCTAAAACATCAGTAGTGAGTTGAGCGAATCTGTAACAAGAGGATGAAGAATCTTACATCCTGTAAAATTTGGAGGTCACTGATATGAAAGCTAAGGATTGAGCCATGCCAGCCATTTCCGGGATCCCCCAGCCAGTCAGAGAGAGAACCATTGCGATATACGAGCCGGATGGCAGAAATGCCGAGTGATCCAACCACGAATCTCAGACATTGGAGACTTTTGACATTGATTTCAAGACCATAGGCTCTGCTTTTATCTTGACAACTAGACATTCTGATGCGACGTAGGTAGGTGCGGCCAAATATGGAGATACAAGTCGCATAAAGCCAGCCTGTGCCAATAAAACTCTCAGGCACAAGACCTTTGAGAGAAAATACAGGTGTCGATACTTGATAATTCAATTCAGACAATAAGCTCGCAGATTGAAATGCTGCTAGTAGGCAGAATACAAGACTGTTTGGAGGAATACTTTGTAACATTAGTCGTTGGAGTTCTTGGGGTAATCCAGCGCTTCTAGAAAGCAAAGAGTTCAGGTTTGTGGTGGGGCCGAGATCCCGAAATGAAGCGAGGTTCCACGGCGCTTCTTTTGCCAAACGGGTTCTCGGAAGGAC